GTTAAGTACACTTGTTGCTCTTGCAGAGGACCAAGACTCAGTTCCTAGCACCCATGTGGCATCTCAGAACCACACATAATTCCAGTTCCAGGGGATCCAATGGCCTTTGCTGACTTTCACAGGTGTCAGGCACACATGTGGTGCATATACATACATGCAGGGAAAACACTCACACACATAAAAAAGATCTTTAAAAAATGGTAGACTTGTGATGCTTGTAAAAGACTTTAAGACTAGGATATGGTTCTGTGTAGGACACTTTGATAGGTTGCACGAGGCCCTAGACTCAGTTCCCAGTTCAACTTTCTCCCCAAAGACAGATGTTATCACACATACGCACGCATGCACGCATGCACACATGAGTAGGGAGGCATGATTTCAATGTGGTCTGGCTGTCCTGGAACTCCCTTTGTAAACCAGCTAGCCTTGAGTGCAGAGATTCGTCCGCCTCTGCCTCTCAAGTGCTACGATTAAAGGCATGCATTTTCACATCTGGCAGATTTATATATTTTTAAATTACAATGAGTTATTTACTTATGTGTATGTGTGTGTGTGTGTGTGTGTGTGTGTGTGTGTGTGTGAACTTGTAATGGACAAAACAATGTAGTGTTTGAGATTTGCTTGTGAATAATTGGTGGAGAAGGAGGAGATGGTCAGCTGCGTGTTGGTAATTATTGCAATTATTGGAAGCCTTGGAAGAAGAATGCCAGGGTTTATTACCCGCTGCAATGCTTCCCTATAAAACATTAGTCCCGCTGGGCCTGGCAGCACCTGGGAGGCAAAGACAGATGGATATATAGATGGTCAGTCAGGGATACATAGTGAACCACTGTTTATCAGTTACTCTTCTGTTACTATGATAAAACACCATGACCAAGACAACTTAAAGGAGGAAGGGTTTACTTGGGTTTACAGTTCTCGGAAGGAGGGATGGGATCCATCATGGCTGGGAGCAGCCGGCAACAGACACAAACAGGAGCAGAGAGCTGAGAGCTCAACAGGGAAGCAGAGAGAAGGAACTGCTAGCAGCTTGAGGCTCCACACTCTCACGTCCTCCTCCGGGGACTGCTTCCTGTGCTAGGCCACACCTCCTCCGCCTCCTCAGACAGCACCACCAAATGGGGGCCAAGTGTAGGGACATTTCTCATTCAAACCCCTATACACTGTCTCAAGAAATAAAAAAATAACAATAGCTAGGAAAAATCTCTTTCAAACCAGTATGCATTGTCTCAAGAAACCAAACAGCAACAGTAACTAGGAAAAAAATCCATCTCTGATTGGCCAAACAAATAAAGGCAGGGCAAATCAGATGGACCAAAGACCCAGAACCTCCCAGGAAGTCCCGTGGACACTGTCAAACCAGAGGCATCACTGAAAAAAATTAGTGTTCTTGAGAGTACCCCTCCCATTTGCCATCTAATGCAGTCGTGAGCTAGTCCCTTGAAGTTTCTTTCTTTCTTTCTTTCTTTCTTTCTTTCTTTCTTTCTTTCTTTCTTTCTTTCTTTCTTTCTCTCTCTCTCTCTCTCTCTCTCTCTCTCTCTCTCTCCCTTCCTTCCTTCCTTTTTTCTTTTCTTTCTTTTTTATTTTTTGTTTGTTTGTTTTTTTTGAGACAGAGTCTTGTGTGCACAAGGCTGGCTTCAAACTTACCATGTAGTTGAGGGTGACCTTGAACCTCCTGTCTCCACCTTTTTTTTTTTTTTTTTTTTTTGGTTTTACGAGACAGGGTTTCTCTGTATTGTTTTGGAAGCTGTCGGTCCAGCCTGGCCTCGAACTCACAGAGATCCGCCTGCCTCTGCCTCCCGAGTGCTGGTATTAAAGGCGTGCGCCACCAATGCCCGGCCCTGTCTCCACCTCTTGAGTATAGGATTAGAGCTGTATGCCATTGTCCCTGGTTTATTCAAACCGGAAATTGAACCCAGGGTTTCATGCATCTTGGGCAAGCAATCTACCAATGGGGTTACATCTCCAGCCCCTTACAATCTACCAATGGGGCTACATCTCCAGCCCCTTACAATCTACCAATGGGGCTACATCTCCAGCCCCTTACAATCTACCAATGGGGCTACATCTCCAGCCCCTTACAATCTACCAATGGGGCTACATCTCCAGCCCCTTACAATCTACCAATGGGGCTACATCTCCAGCCCCTTACAATCTACCAATGGGGCTACATCTCCAGCCCCTTACAATCTACCAATGGGGCTACATCTCCAGCCCCTTACAATCTACCAATGGGGCTACATCTCCAGCCCCTTACAGTCTCCTAAGGAAACAGCCATACTCAAGAGTTAGGACTCAGGCTGAAAGCTTTGAGTCTCAGTGGACCCTCTGGGGCTGCCTCATGCCAGGCTCCAGGGAGACTTGCCGTTTTGCAAGAAGCCAGAGTGTCCTTGGAGACTTCTTGCCTCACATCCCCCTAGCGAGACCCTAACAGAAGAAGTTCATTATCTTTCAGACACTGGTTCTGTCTGACTCAAGTTTCTCCTTCTGCGGGGAGTGGGGACTTCTGAGGCGCTGTCATGGAGGGCCAGTTGGAGTCAGCCTTGCCTGTTCTCACCACACAAGGGAGTGGTTTCTCATACTTAAGTTCTCTCCCTCCCCTCACTCTGTGGTCCCCCAGCCCCCATCCGCATCGTGCAGGCTCCTGGACTGGAAGTCAGACATTGAGGACTTCTGTGAGTCTGCCCAGAACTGCACTCAGTGTCGTAGGTGAATCAGGCCGTCCAGTGGAAGATTTTATCTTCAGTTCCCCCAGGTCTTCCTGTGTAAGCAGCAGTCTATATTTAGCTTCGAGGATCACAACTGCTTCCGTCCTGTTGGACAGCCTCCCGGCTTGCATTTGAAAGCTAAGGCAGCCTGGGCATTTTGAGCAAGCAAAGGTATGTTAATATGCTTGGAGTGGCTGAATTTGAACATTCACAAACTTTTCTACTGTAAGGAAAAAAACATTAGGAAAATTACCCTATGTCGGGCTGGAGAGATGGCTCAATGGTTGACAGCACTGGCTGTTCTTCCAGAAGACCTGGGTTCTATTCCCAGCACCCACATGGTAGCTCACACCTGTCTGTTACTCCAGTTCCAGGGGGTCTGACACCTTTACACCAATGCACACAAAATAAAGTTAAATAAATTTAAAAATTACCCCATGTCAGACTTTTCATTTTGATAATAAAGCAACAGATCTCCATGGTTGTTTTATTTTGAAGGTCTACAGTTACTTGATTTGTCTCAGGCAGGTTCTAGTCACCCAAGAGCCAGGCTGGGTCCTCAAGACCTGAGCAGGGGGGAAGACATCCACGGTTGGCCTGATGCCATTGTGTTCAGGCAGGTGGAAACCACCTACAGGCCAGTCTGGGTCCTCAAGACCTGGGCTGGAGAGACGGGTGGATGCCATAATAAAGATCAAATGGAGAAACAGGAGAGAAAGAGGCAGAACGGCTCGTGTGGTGTGGGAAGAGGTGGGCTGGAATGAGAGAAGGGGGTGAGGGTAGGCTGATGTAGGCCGTCTGCTTACCAGCTGGTCTGTGTTGACACGTGTGGCCCGTGTCTAGACTGCCACCTGTGGCCTTGTAGGTGTCTGAGGGCTCTGCCGCCCTAGGGGGCCATGGTCCTACCACAGCCAAGGTCTGTGTTGAAGACCAAGGCCCTTGTGGCCACCAAAGGCCACTTGGAACGGGGTCTGTGCCACAACATGTGACTTTGTTGGTGTCCGAGGGCTGTGCCACTGCCAGAACTGATCTGAGTAGCCTGTGCTGCCACCTGGAGCCACGGTGTCATCCAGGTCCGAGCTGCTGCTGAGGGTCATGTCTGGGTCTGTGGTCCTGCAGCATCCAGGGTCTGTGCTGATGTCTGTGGCCCATGTTACCACAGGAGGTCATAGGAGTCAAGCATGATACAACCAGAGGCTGTGCTGAGCCCACCCTTCTCTGGTCCTGGGAAAGCTGGCCATGCCCCTTGTCAGACACTACAGCTGGAAAGCTGTGCACTACCCCCCCCCACACTCCTGAGAGAGCCCCATCCCTCACTGCAGGAGGTGTGGGAGAACTGGTCCTGATGGCATAGGCGTGGCAGAGCTGGCTCCTCCCCTAGACCGAATGGGACAGCCCCAGTGGCCTGGACTGGCCATTTCTGCTGTCACCCAAGTCCACATCCAGAGCCTTGGATTGGCCTACCCTAACATCTGTCCCATCTATGTTTTGTTTTAAATTTTCTTTTTGGGGGCACACTGCAAAGGTGAGGGGCAGAGAAAGGGGGCTGGGAGGTTAATAGAATTGGGGTGCATGATATGAAATTCCCAAGGAATCAACAAAGAAATTATGTTTTAAAAAAATGAAACATTTCATTGTGAAAGTCTTTAAAAACACAGAAGAGGACTGGAGAGATAGCTCAGTGGTTAAGAACACTGACTGCTTTTACAGAGGACTCAGGTTCAATTCCGAGCACCCACGTGGTGGTAACTCCACTCTTAGGAGACCCAATGCCTTGTTCTGCCCTCTGAAGGGACCAGGCGTGGTTCACAGACAAAAATGCTGACAAAACACCCACACACATACAATGAAACACTAAGATTTTTAAAATGCAGAAGATTAAAAGAAAGGAAGAAGCCTAGCCTTCGCTATTTGGTGCCAATTGCTGAAAGTCTTGTGTACACAAAATTTTAATTGTCACTGTTCACTACAACTATGATATTCACAGTGTACATAAATCTTAGCGTGACTTTTCCAGCCTTGTGAAACGCCTCCCTCCCGCAGTGTTCCTCACAGGCATGTTGCCAGATGGTTCCCGAGGAAAGGCTTCCATTTGCTTTATTTTTTTCTCACTCTTCCCCTACAAATGGGCAGATGGGATATTCCCATTTCTCTCCACTATGAATAACACCACAGCAAACTTCTTTTTCTGTGTTTGAAGCAATTTTCTTAGGCTCCGACACCAGACAGTAAAAATTTTTTTGGATGTTTTTAAGACTCTTAACTCATTTGGCCAATTTGTTGTTTTTACAGGTTTTGCATGAATTCCCATTCCTGCAAGAGTTCTGATTTGAGTCTGAATATAGAGCGAGAGGCTGGAGAGATGGTTCTGCAGTTAAGAACACTTGCTGCTTTTGCAGAGGACCCGAGTTCAATTCCCAGCACCCATGTTGGGCAGCTCACAACCATCTGTCCCCTGGCTCTAGAAATCTGACATCCTCTCCTGGCCTCTGTGAGGACCTTGCTCATTCATGCTTGTGCACGCGCGCGCGCGCGCGCACACACACACACACACACACACACACACACACACACACACACACTAATATTAAAATAAACCTCTTAAAGAGTTATAAATGTGGGGTGACCTTGTCTCTTGTTCATCCCTTCTCTGGTAAAATTTTTCCTGTGTAGTCATAAACTTTAAAGGTTGTGACATGAGACAATACCCGCCCCTCCCCCCATTTAAGCACTCTGGTCCTTTCTAGAAGATGCTGTCAAACGGACTCGTCCTGCAGTTGAAGCCGATTGTGAGCACGTGTTCTGTCTCATTTCAAACCATCAGTGGCCATTTCTGCCCCTGTGCCTCGGGAACCAGGGCCCTTGTCTGATCTTGCAGGAATTTAGAAACTGACTGTTATGGTTTATATGTGAGCTGCCCCTCACAGGCTTGTGCGCTTGAACAATTAGCCCCTAGCTGGTGGTGCTCTTTCGAGAGACTTGAGGACAAGGTAGAAGCAGGTTACTAGGAGCCAGGCTTTTGAGGGCTTACACCCTCTTCTGCTTCTGTACCTTCTGTGCTCCCTGGCCCGCCAAGACGTGACAAGTCTGCATCACGTGTTCCTGCTGCCATGAGCTCTGCCGTAGCTCTTCCTCATTATGAAGGGCTGAAATCCTCCTGAAACTGCGAACCAAAAACAAACCCCTCCTCCCTGAATTTGTTTTTGTGAGGTGGTTTATGATAGCAATGTAGAAAGTAGCTGATACCCCAGCTGTCCAAGGACTTTAACTGGTCTCCACATGAGCCTGCAGCCATGATTCCTTCCAAGGTAACCCAAGTTCCACTGCAGCTGGATGGACCAAGAGCTCAGTCTAATTGTCTGGCCAGTGAATTCACTAGGATGTGAAATAAAGTTGCTTGCAGGTTTTTGCCAATTTAGATTCCACCTGCAAGGATGAAAACTTGCCTTCACCCATCCCCTGCTTATTTTGATGCTGGGGAAAAAAGAGATGACAATATTTATAGCATCTGACAAGATTCCCTCTTTTGGGAAGTGGGTGACAGGGAAGCAGAGAGACACCCGTGAGCGCCCAGAGGGCTCAGAAGACACGGCAAGCTTCTACCAGAGCCTGCCAGGTTGGCAGTGCCCCGAGGTGAGGGACTTTCTGTCCTGATTATGTTGTTTTGCTCTGCACAGCAGAGAGAGAGAGAGTGAGGGGGAGGGAGGGAGGGAGGGAGGGAGAGAGAGGGAGGGAGAGAGAGAGAAAGAGAGAGAGAGAGAGAGGAGATGCAGAGGGAGGGAATGCTGTGGACTGAGGGAGCAATCTCGATGTTGAGTTCAACTTACATAGAAAAGAGAAAGGCACAGGAGTTCAGGGTTCAGGGAGGGGGTTGGGAAGTAACTGATAATGGTGACAGAGCTGACATTTCTCGGGCACTTACTGCATCCCAAGAACTGTCCAAAGCACTTCACATGGGATGGACTATTTCTCATTACAAAATCATGTGGGAATGATTACCACCACACAAACCTAAGGATGAGAACCAGGCCTCAGGGCTGGGGGAATGGCTCAGCGGTTAAGAGAACCAGGCATCACAGAAAGCATGTGATGAGGCTGTGGGTTGAGCTGTGAGTCTACTGGGGACTGGAGGGCCCGGGGTTGGCTCAGTAGGTAAAGTCCTCCTGAGTAAAGGTGAGAGTCAGAGCTCAGTTCCCAGCCCTTACATCAAAGCTGAGATCTGAAGGTCATGGCCGTTATCCCAGTGTTGGTGAGGTAAAGACAAGAGAACCATGGTACTTTTTAGCTGGTCAAGGTGAATGGTGAGCTTGAGTGAATGAGAGACTATGCTACAGAAGAACGAGGGGGTATACAATTGAGAAAGACATGGCATCTGTCTACTTCTGACCTCTGCATCAACAGGCACGCGCTCTCGCGCACGCGCGCACACACACACACACACACACACACACACACACACGGGAGGGAGGGAGGGAGAGAGAGAGAGATTAGGATGGGTAGAGCCTACAAGTACAGAAGGGAACATTAAATGATCTGGGAATCCTGGTGTCCAATGATCCAGGCTCCAAATCTGGGGCTCTCTCAAATCTGGTTTGATGATCTCCCTGCCCTCCAGTTCCCCCAGCAATCACTACTGGGTCCAGTCCTTCCCCAAACATCAAGCTCTATCCCCAGCCCACGGCTGCATCTCAATCCCACCCTGACTATTGCCTAACTCTACTCCTGCTGCCTCAGTGCTCCATCCATCTTCGCCACTCAGACCCCTGTAAACATGTCTGTTTACTATCTAGCCCACTAATGGCAGTTGGTGAATTTATATGCTTGCCTCTCCAGTCACACGCTTGTCAGGTGAAGGGATAGCGATGCCGTTAGGAAGCGAGGAGACCCCAGGGAGGCAATGATTTGTGGAATAAGGGTGATTTCCAAGTCACTCTCCCATCACTTTTAAATACCTTCTCAGGCTTTCTGGCAGGGCCCACGAACCTACAGTTCACCATTATGTGAAACAAGAAGGGAGATTTGTATTGAGAAACACTGACCCTCTCCCTCCCCACGCTTCTGCAAGGTCAGGGGCATCCCTGGTTTTATTTAGGTGTGTTACTGGAAGCAGCCAGGAGCACCCCAGCCCCAGCTGGACTCACCGGAATGCTCATTTCTTTCAGGTTATTGCGGGGATGCTGAATGAGAGAGACTGATGACAGGGACATCTGAGATGGGTTGTTTGACAAATGTGTCCCTGCTTCTGTGAGGGGGAGAAAAAGCAATCTCATGTGTGAATCCAGAACTGGGTGGATAAGAAGGTCAAAGCTTTACATAATCAATATTTAAAAATTATTTCCTTTTAAAAATTTAATACATTTACGTGTGTGCGTGTGCGTGTGTGTGCGTGTGCGCGTGTGTGTGTGTGTGTGTGTGTGTGTGTGTGTGTACACATGCCAGGGTGTGCTTGTGGAGGTCAGAGGATGACTTGTAGAAGTCTGTTCTCACCTTCCATCATGCAGGTCCTGGGGATTGAACTCAGGTCGTGAGGCTTGTTGGCGAGCGTCTCTACCCACCAGTCTGTGGTTCCTAGTGTTCAAAGCAAGAAGGCAGAGCCATTATCACTGTCTCGCAGATCATTGGTGGTAGACAAAGCACAGAGTCATGGAGACATCTCTGGCCTTCGGTCATGGGCGGGACTTCCGGTGTGGACTAACTGGTTCCTACTGCCAGTGCATTTTTAACAAGCAGTTACTATGTACCAGGCAGTGTACTAGGTGAAGATACAGTAACAAGCAAAACAAAGTCCTTCCTCTTCCTGGAGCTTATGACCTATTTGGAGGAGACAAAGTAGCTATCAGATTTATAACACACCCAGGGGTGATGAATGATGTGAAAAAATTCATTATATAATGAGGAAGAGATGGACTCGGCCTTTTCTGTAGAACTTGTTAGAGATGCTCTCTCTGCCGAGAAGGGCGAAAAGTGAACGAAGTGAGGAAGGAGCGCAGTGGGTGCCTGGGGTCAGAACATTCCAGAAAGAAAGAAAAGAACAGAGCCCCTGTGGCAGAATCATGCTGGGTATACTCCAGCAAAGAGGCCTGGCATGAGTAACTTCGAGGATATCAGAGACAACACTGAGGGCAAGATCAGAGGTGACTGCTGGCTGAGGGAGAACTCTGCGTTCTGAACACAGAACCTTTGGAAAGTTAAAGCTAGCTGGGAAAGACCCTGTCCACGGGCATACGGAAATACCAGCAGAGGATTGTGAGTAGGAGCTGGGACAGCAGCCAGGAGACCGTCATGGTAGGGATCAAGAAACTGGAAGATTCTGGAAATATCTGGAAGGTAAAATTGACTGGATTTGCTGGTGTTCCAATGGAGGTTGTGAAGAAAGCCCTTGTTAGCTCTTATCACTCATTTGTAGGGGTGCCAGGCAGTGAAGGGTGCAGCTCCCCATTGATGGGGTGCTGGTTCAGCATGCACAAGGCCTCAGTTTGATCCCCAGCACCATTTAGAGCTGGGCATGGTAGGACATGCCTGTAACCCCAGTTCAAGGCCATCCTCAGCTAGATATTGAGTTACAGGCTAACCTGGGCTACATGAGACCTTGTCTTAAAAGGGGGAGTGGGGTTCCATCCATTTACCTGCAAACTTCTTGATGTCGTTTTTTAAACAGCTGAGTAATACTCCATTGTGTAAATGTACCACATTTTCTTTATCCATTCTTTGGTTGAGGGGCATCTAGGTTGTTTCCAGTTTCTGACTATTATGAACAAAGCTGCTATGAACATAGTTGAACAAGTGTGTTTATGGTATGATTGAGCATCCTTTGGGTATGTACCCAAGAGTTAGAACAGTGGGAGCAGGAGCAGCCTGACTCTGGTTTTTTTTTTTTTTTTTTTTTTTTTTTTGGTTTTACGAGACAGAGTTTCTCTGTATTGTTTTGGAGGCTGTCGGACCAGTCTGGCCTCGGCCTCGAACTCACAGAGATCCGCCTGCCTCTGCCTCCCGAGTGCTGGGATTAAAGGCGTGCGCCACCACCGCCCAGCGCAGTCTGACTCTTTTGTCAGCTTTTAGGGCCCTATTTCTCATACTGAGTTGCTTTGCCCAGCCTTAACACGAGGGGAGGTGCCTAAGTCTTATTGCAACTCGATATGCTATGTTTGGTTGATTTCTATGGGAAGTCTGCCCTTCTCTGAATAGAAACTGAGGACAATTAGGTGGTGGCATCAGAGAGGAGGTGGGGGGAGAGGCTGGGATGGGAGGCTGTGGTTGGGATGTAAAATAGTAATAATGATAAAAAAACAAAATTTATTCAAAACTTTTCAAGAAAGGAGGCATGGGGCCGGGCGTTGGTGGTTCATGTCTTTAATCCCAGCACTCCGGAGGCAGAGGCAGGCGGATCTCTGCGAGTTCGAGACCAGCCTGGTCTACAGAGCGAGTTCCAGGACAGTCTCCAAAACAACACAGAGAAACCCTGTCTCGAAAAACAAACAAACAAACAAACAAAAAACGGGGTGGGGGAAGAAGAAAGGTAGCAGGGAGAGAGGGTGACCGCATTGTGTGATAGAGGGACCACATGTGTGAAGTTACCACTAGTAAATGGGGACAACACACGGTAGAGGTGTGAGGAG